TGCCTGAATTGACGTGTACTTGAAAAAACTGACCTATGGGTCAACAGCAGTCAAGGAACAGCAGGAACAGCAGTCAAGGGTGAGGAAGGTCTTGAACAGGGCTATTCAATTAGTTTGTCATGGGGGCCAGTTCATGAAAAGCATCCCAAACGAAGGGCCGAAGAGATATAACTTGCAATATAAGTGATGACACAACAGCACATAAGAGCTCATATGCTGTATATTTTTGCTCCTTAAGACATCCACGTTGGCTTTTTTATATTAAAATGTTAATATATTGTTTTTAGAAGCTACATAATATCAGTGCATTGTACAATAGACATTTTTTTAAACAAACATTCGAATGTTGTATTTCAAAGCACAACAAAAGCAGTGCATTGCTAAAGTAGGCTTCTTCTACATTCAGACAAATTCATAAGTTAAGTTTTGAATAACAATTAGGGATGCAGCAACTATAGATTTTGGTTGTACGATTATATAGTCTGAAGAATAATCATGCTTTCACTGTTATCACATCTAATGTAAATTCAAGCTTTATATTAGGTAAGTAGCTATTTAGAATAAGTGTTGTTGCCATCTGCATTCATGCATACATAGTCATTTTAATAATAATTCGTCTAACATACAGTATATTTTGTTTACATTGCACTGATAGGCACGCACAACTCTCACCGTGAGATGTTTTCCACTGCGTGCGCCCAGAAAGACGCAAATGCGTCGCTCCGCTGGCGCCCGCATATTGTCATATATTCTTACCTTAGAAATAACAATCTTGCAAGCGGAAAAGACGTGATATGGGAACGGCCGCTGCTATTGTTAATCCTGTGTGTATGCGTATTAGCCTCGGTGTACTTCAAACTTAAAACTAGCGCACAGGCAACTTGGCATTTTGCAGTGGTTTCGTTTCGTTCCGTTCCGTGCAACAGAAATGCGGCTTAGAGAAGACTTTACGATCAATAAACTGTGACGTATTAAAGGGCAGTTAATAGTGAAATCGGCTAATCGTTGCATCCCTATTAACGATATCAGTGCATTGTACAAATAGCCTTTTCTACAAACATGTTTTCGCTCACTTATGATGACTCACGCTCTGTGCAGCCTTTAACTGCAGCTCGTGCTGTTACTGAACAGACGCACGTAACTTCAAAACTATAGCAGCCGTTTGTCGACTGAACTAAATTTATTTTTGATGTCTTGGTCACAGTGTTTGGAGGGCCGGAACAAAGTGCCTCGGGGGCCAGATTCGGCCCGCGGGCCGCCTATTGAATAGCCCTGGTCTAGAACTTAGAGCTGGCACAGGCTTATGGCATAGAGCTTCTGCCTCAAGTGTCAAAGTTTTCAGCTTAAAGCCTCGCTCAGCTTGTACTTCAAATCGCAGGAAGATGAACAAGTAGAGTTTCATGCTCTTGTTTAATGGCCAATCCAAGCTCCTTTAGCTTTATCTCCAATAAAGAATCCATAATTGGCTCAATACCAATAGGAACAGAATCAACATTAGTTTCAGCTATTTCAACTAATTCCTGCTCCTCTAGCCCTTCAGTTTCTGACTCAACTGCTAGGAGACCAGAATTTACCAACTCAAAATATAGTTCATCTTTTAAAACTGCTTTTGTGACATCCCTAGACACACAGATATTGAAGAACTCAGCAATTAACATCAAATCCTTCTTATGGCAACAATTGAAAACTTCTACTGTGGGAGCAAGGCTAAACTCATTCAAATCAAACTCCATTTTACAAAGTAACCTATCTGACCCTTTCCCAAAAAAAGAAAACAGCCAAAACTTCAATTAGCTTGAGAGAAAAAAAAAAAAACACTAACAAGTTACAAAACTTCCCCAAAATTCAAACAAATTGCAGAATACAGGAATTCACCAAGTCAAATTTCACCTAAAGTAATGTTTTTTTTGTTCAAATCCAATGGATGAGCCGCCAATGTTCATTGTTTCGTCCCTGATGTTAAATGTCTAGGAGTAGGAACAACAGTAAAAAGTTTTAAATGTTGGTTGGGGTGAGTGTGGATCAGTTCCCTGCCCTCACGACAACACACCAAACTCAAGTTAAAGAATTTATTAACAGAAATGTACAATAATAAAACAAAACTGGGAAGCAAAAATAGACTTCAGGAGCGGAGGAAAGGCCAAAAAAAACAAACAAAATAGTACACTCTAGCTAGTTAGGGAGTATAACTGTCTAAACTGACAAAGTAAAATTAAACCAACAATAGAAATGTACACTAACTCCTTAACTAAACATAAACAAGAGAAAAAGGGGTTTAGAAATAAAATGGCACCCACCTCTCAATGGCTTCCAAACACAAGGTTAATTTTCAAAAGCAGAGTTCAAGTGGGTGGAAAAGCTTTAACAATAGATTTTAACTTCAACAAGTTAGCCACAACAGCAACAATAATCTTTCCCAACCAAACAACCAGGCAGGAGAGAGACCACACTCTGGAAGCAAGCTTCAATGTGCCTTGCAACTGGCAGGCTTTTAAGCTTGCCTTTATTACCTTTTAAAGGGGGGGGGGGGGGGGGGGGTAGTAACCAAACACAATAATGAATTCAAACACAATGGAATGTAACAATACATATACATACGGGTTATATATTCAGAGCCCCTTAATTTTTTTACTTTTTTAAATTGCAGCCAATTGCTAAAATCATTTAAGTGAATTTTTTTCTTCATTAATGTACACACAGCACCTCATATTAACAGAAAAACACAGAATTGTTGACAGTTTTGCAGATTTATTAAAAGAGAAAAACTTAAATAATAATCAACTAATTTATTAAATGCAAGGATTTTCAAATCAACGTATTTAAAAGGCACAATGCGATGGAAAAGAGCATAAAAATCCTTTACCAGATGGCAAATCATTCATATTCTCATTTGTATATATATATATATATATATGTGTGTGTGTGTGTGTGTGTGTGTGTGTGTGTGTGTTTGTGTGTGTGTATGTGTGTGTGTGTGTGTGTGTGTGTGTGTGTGTGTGTGTGTGTGTGTGTGTGTGTGTGTGTCTGTGTTTATAAAGAGTTCAGAGATCAACAGTTAAGAACTCTAATTGCCATCTGAATTTTTTCTTCAAAACATTTTTTACCTTATTATGTTAGTAAAGTAAAATTACTGAATCTACACATACTTTATGGAAAATTACCATATTTTTATGAACTGATACAATGCTCAGTTCACAAAAACGTAGCTTAGTGCTTAAAAAAAACTTAGTCATTCAATGCACTAATGTGTTTATGTGTGTTTACAATTAGCAAACAGATTTTCACAACATTAGTAACTACACAGTTACCTTTAAACAAAAAAAGATGCAACATAACATCAGATACACTGAGTTCATCTTGGACTTGCACACAAATGCTACTATCCTCCACGATGGTGAGACAAATTTTTTTTACAGTATTTTGCTGTTTTTTTTCTTGATTTTACGGTAAAATATAGGCAGTTGTGGTTGCCAGTAATCTACCGTTTTTAACATTTTACATTCGTAAATTTAGTTTACAAAGTATTTCTGTTAAAAATACATTCCACAGTCTGTATTTTACATCAAACACATTTAACCCCTCAAATTCCAGAGCAAAATCCTCACTAGTGTCCTCACTACAGAGGGTTGAACACTCAGACAGTGATGAAGTTAATGAGATAATTAAGTGTCTAATTAAAGGAGGATTAAGAATTCTTGATGAACAACTGTTAACAAGCAGAATCACTGAAGGAAAGAAAAACACAAATTACAGCCAAAGCCAACGATTAAATCAACCAAAGTAATAAGTGAAGCTCCTGATGTGTGGAGTTGTTTAATGATCTCTGCTGAGAAATTATATTTATATTGTGTAATTAGTTTTATTTTGATCAATTATTGTTGTGATTTAGAGTTTTATTTTCAATTGATTTCATCTTTGGTTTTTGGCTGTAATTTGTGTTTTTCTTTCCTTCATTGATTTTGCTTGTTAACTGCAGGTGTTCATCAGTGTCTGAATTTACTCATTTGTGGTCACTCCCTCTGTCTAGTGGACTAAACTAATTGACTAATTTAGGAATTAGTGAATGAGGGTGTGTGGTGAGATTTCAGACACTCTGATTAGTTTCTCGAAAACAAAGGTTAGATCTGTTACAGCTATTTTTTGTATTTTGTACAGAAATGAGCTGTAAATCATTTAACAGGTTTTCACTGTAGATTGTACAGACTTTTACCGTTTAATTACAGACATATTCACAGTGTATGAAGCGTGGCTATCATTTATTTCGACCAGTGCAGCTACAGTCATATTTTAAATATTGTTGGTTTCATTAGACTAAAGAAAAAAGGCCCACTTCTGTAGAAATTATCATTTAAACCAATCAAAAGCACTTTGAAATTTGTGTTGACCTAAACTATTATGAAGCTAACTAAAGGAATATTTCACACAAATGAAATATTGTCATCGTTTACTCATCCTTCTCTTGTTCACAACCTGACATTAGTGGGTTCCAGCACCAAACATCCTTCAAAATATATTTTGCATTCAACAGAAAGAACTCAGAGGTTTAAAAATCACATTTGGTTGAGTAAATGAGATCATTTGCATTTTTGGATGAACTAAATAGTCTGTACTAACTGAATATTATCCTATTTGATGGACATATTACACAAAGTTGAATGAACATGTTTTATCCTGTTTTAGATCAGTTTAATTGCATTTAATTATAAAACTAGGCACAACTAACGTCAATGTGCTACTCAAAGTTGTGAAACCTGATTTAACTGAAACTGATCTTCAAAACTGAGAGTTTCTTGCTCAGTGGAAGACAGTGTACATTTCATATTTTTAAAAAATCTTTACTAATACCCCTAAAGGAATCTAATCTACGGCCACCAGAAGTGACAGATTCATTCACTACACAAAGTCAAATGGATCTGAAGCAAATACAAAAGAAATGTGACACCAATAATACACTTTAGTAATGTTTGAGACAACAGAAAGAACAGGACCGAAACACAGTGTAAGATTAAGCTTTTATTTGTCTGTTAATGATTTCTTTAGGGTTTTCATTAATGAAGGAGTTTCTGATGATTCAGATTATAGAGTACATTTACGGATGGAGCCATCAACACAGACAACCCACAGCACTCCCAGGTCAAAGGAAACGTGTTTGTGACCATTGGGACAGGCAATCATTGAGATCCAGTCTGTGCCAGCAGGGTTAGACCGACTCACACCAACTCTGCAGCAGACAAACAAAGAATAAAGAATGGGTTTTAGGAAGAAAATCATACTTGACAAAATGTCATTCATTCATTTTCTTCTCGGCTTAGTCCCTTTATTAATCTGGGGTCAACACAGCGGAATGAACTCCCAACTTATCCAGCAAGTTTTTACGCAGCGGATGCCCTTCCAGCCGCAACCCATCTCTGGGAAACATCCACACACACATTCACACACACACACACACACTTATACACTACGGACAATTTAGGCTACCCAATTCACCTGTACTGCATGTCTTTGGACTGTGGGGGAAACCGGAGCACCCGGAGGAAACCCACGTGAACACAGGTAGAACATGCAAACTCCACACAGAAACGCCAACTGAGCCGAGGCTCGAACCAGTGACCCAGCGACCTTTCTGCTGAGAGGCACTACCTACTTCGCCTCTGCTTCGCCCACAAAAATGTCATGTTACTAATTGTTTGAACTGTTCAGCTCACCTTTGGAATAGTTTTGCTTCGTAGTTGACACCAAAGACACTGCCATCCGTTCCTACTTCAATCATGGACAAAAGGCCAGGAATATTTACAAAAGTCCCATCCCCAGAACAGGCATTACTGGACACACCCTGTAAGAAACCCCCCCAAAAAATGTTTTGTTTTTGTCTTTGCAAAATGATACTTCAGTCACTGTATTTAACATTGGGACATTACCTTCATGATAAAGATATGGTCATCAGAGTTCACACCCCAGCAGCTGTAAGGGCCACAGCTGTAATACTTCAGCTTTCCATTAAGGGTAACCCAAGGAGTGGTGCTGGATGGCCAATGGTTGCTAGCGTCCATGTTTAAACAAAAGATGTCATCATTCATATTGACGCCTGCAATGATCTGATCACCTCCAGCATCCACCTGCTTGAGAAGACCTTAAAAAAAAAAGGTTGGCTAAAATATTAAAAATTACTTTTTTTAACAGATATATTTTGGATCATTGGAAAAAATTTTTATACCTGGAAACCCAACAAATCTGCCACTCATCAATTTGAAGATGTAGTAGGTTTTGTTAACCCCCAGCTGACCAGCAGGACCAACACTGAAGTGCTTTAGAGATCTGCTGACCAGATTGAAGACATCATCTTGCAGCACAAACGCTTGATTTAGATCGTTCACTCCAACCACTGAACCAGACCCAGCGTCAATCTGCTTCAGGTTACCATTCATTATGGTACAATCTAAAGCTGCAAAACCCACACAAAATAGATAGAGCCTTTACAATATTTAAGAAGACAATAAAAGAAAATATATTTAAAAAAAAGAACAGCATTTACCCAGAGTGTAAAGGATCTGGCAACTCAAGAGCAGCAAAACACCTTGATAAACCTTCATTGCTCCACAATACAGTTTTTGTTTGGACCTGTTCTTAACCAAAAATAAAATACATGAATTACATTTAAGAGTCAAAGTAAAGTTAAATGGGTAAAGAATCAACAACACAATGACAGCAATTAAATAAAGAGAACCTTGTCTTGTTTGAGCAGGATTCAGCAAGTCGTTCACCAGTAGTTGCACGAATTGGAGAATGCAATGCTTTAAATGCGCACACTTAAACCCGCCCCTAACCCAACCCCTCACAGTGATGTCACTAGCTCCACTGAGTGCATTGTGTCTGAGACAGTGTGTCTCAACTTGCATATGCAAGTCTGCACTCAGATACTATTGGTGAATTCGGGTGCTGGTAAGGTGATGATGAGCTTGCTTCACTATACATTGGGACACACAGTGTGACATGAGAACGTCTTCGATGTACATGATCAAAACTGGAGTTTCTAAACAACAGAAGAACTAATCATTTTCAAATATTAATTTGACTAATAAAAGCATGGCTTAATAATTTGATTGATCCATATACCAGCACCAATACAACCATTAAACAATTACAAAGGATTGCTCAATTTTTACTAATCTAGCTCTGTTCGTTTGAGTTAAAAATGAATAAATAACAGATTCTTACTAGAAAAACATCTCTTGTTTTTCAGTAAGTTTGATGATTTGGGTCACACGATTCATATTTCGAGCTTCCGTTAAGGCCTCATAGTGCATATATCAATGCAGCAGGATTTTCCCCTGCATTGTGGGACTTTTCAGAGGGTGAAAGTTTAGGGCACTGGAAAAAACTTGTGATTAAGACAGCACTTAAAATGGCTGGTGAACTGGTCCGTGCACTGACTACTGAACAAAGGTGCTGATTGGGACGCACCCTAGGTAAGAGAATTGATCTATGAGTACAAAGCGCGAGACAAAACAAATGCACCCATAATAATTATCTTTCTGAAAGTATCTTTCGATTAAACCTTGGCAGTTTATGCTGAAACAGCTCAGACTTTTATATCTAGTGTGTAAACATAAGTTCCATCTGTGAAAGTGAGCCATAGAGGTTTAAGATTTTTGCCAGATTAGAAAGCAAAGCCTTCTGACCAAGTTGTCATTTGAAACGCTTATAATTTAGGCCAGACTCCAGTAACTTAAGCTAACCTCAGAATAATACATTTTAAGACCAAAGTACAGGCTGTAAAAGATTAAAAACGGGTTCAGATATTTATAAATTATCACATAACTGAACCAAAGAATAAATACAACAGATGAAATTTAACTATTGGTCAAGAACAAAAAGAAGTACAAAACCCAAGATATTTTCCCTGTTTTGCAATCATAGATATGAAATACTCTTTCAAAGATATAACGGGGTCGCCTTCATGTAAGGCAGAAGCATTGACATCAGTTGTTCTTTAAACGTTTTATAGCACTCTGCAGAGAAAGCATCTATTCCTGGTACTTTAGTTGTTTTAAGCTTCGATGTAACCTTGCTTATTTCTTCCATACTTGTTTTTTTGATTTGTTTTATTTTGTATTGAACCAATTGATGGTAAATCCAATGTGTGCAAAAATTGTTATCCACTTCCGGGTCCAAGCGCTCTATTTAACTGAATGGGGAGACTCATGAAATGGTAATAATAAACGTTTACAAAGCGATTTAATGCTTTCGAAAATCACGCAATATATATGTCCATGCCTAATATCCGATGCCCAGAAAGTGATTAATTTTTTATAAATTGCTAAATTTTTGATATTTGTTATGCAGCAAGCCCTGAGATTGTTGTGTACACTATGATTTTATATAAAATTAACGTAATGTGTGATAGGAATAAAACGTGATCATAAACGAATGATTTCTCCACTCAAATGAATGGCGGCTTGGACCCAGAAACAGTATACATACGTCACAAACACGTCACCACTTAACAAGCGGATATGCTTGCAAGGTCAGTACAATCTTTTGAGGTTTATGGTTCCTTATAGTATTCTTGAAACCCCTGTTGTATTACTTCCAATTTATGACATATCTTTTTAGTTTTGGATCTTTAATTTGAAATATAATACTCTCTGCCTGCTGTTTCCTTATTCTCCAGGGCTTTTTATTCTCCAGGCTTTTTTGCTTTTGGACCATTTTCATAAAATGGCTGCTGTGAAAAGGTTTAATTGTACTTGCTCCTCTTATATTTTGAGTTCTCTATTCTGATTTAACTTATTTTATCCTACTAAGAATATTTGTATCTTTTTTATCACTATATTTAGTCTCTAACTCTTTAAGTTGTGTGTTCAGATTATTTAATTCAGTTTTTTTTTTTCTGTGATTCCCCATATTATAGGTTTACCTCGCATAACAGCTTTTGGGTGACACCTCTCCATTATCATTATGTTCCAAGTATTCCAATAGTTCTTTTTTAACTTATTCAACACATATTATTAGATAATTTAAATGATATATTCAAACTATTCTAGTTATGTCTTTTGGGTTTGTTATCCGGAAACAGTGATACACTCCTGAATAGTCTTAGATGTCCCTTGTCCCTGTTTTACAGTGCTTTACTTTATGTTGATTTGATCCTAACATAAAAAAAAATCTATTCTAGAATGAGACATGTGAGCAGAAGAAAAGAAAGTATATTCTTTTGAAGAGGGTATATGTCTTTTTAATGAATATATTAGGCCTAACTCTTTTAATATAATTGTCTAGCTTCTTGACTAATTTGCTTATTAGAAGATGAGTCCAATTTAGGCTGGAGTTGGACATTCTAGTCTTCACCAGAGATTAAAGTACCACAGGCCTCTTTGGCTGTAATACTAAATATGTTCATGAGAAATTTTTCGTGTTTTCCAGGTGGTCTATATACATGAACTAATGTGACTTCAATTTGGTCAATAGTTCCGTTCATGAGGTTATATTAGGGGTGTCCAAACTTTGTCCTGGAGGGCCGGTGTCCTGCATACTTTAGCTCTAACTTCCTTAAACACACCTGCCTGGAAGTCTTTGTATATCTATAAAGAGTTTTATTAGCTGGTTTAGGCCATTATTCTATAAAGAAAAATATATAAAACCCATTTTTCCTAATTTCTTATGTTCTGTATCAGAAAGATGCAATTTTTTCCTTTTCATTTTAGCAACAAGTTTGCTTCTTTTGATCGGATTAGTTACCCATTAACATTTAAAGTAACCCTATATTCATGTGTTGGCATACAGTATAATCAAGTGTTGTAGTGAAGACCTAAACGTAAAAAAATAAAAAAACATAAACATATTGAACCACATGGAAAACAAAACAAAAAAAGGTCTCCAAATTTGAAGTGTTAAACCACTTCCTTATGTGAGGGGAAAGCCTTACTTCTCTAAAGGACTCCTCATTAGGCTAATGTGCACCAAGATATTCAGCATCCATTCTAACTGCCACTAATTATATTCTTGTATTTCTAGCTAGGTTTCCAGGGTAAATGTTTCTACTAATTGTCTTATATAACAAAGGATTTTTAAATATACAAATTATAGTGCTTTAGTGTCATTTTAACAGTATGTTATTCAATAACTCCAGACATAATGTGTATTTCAATCGTTCATCCTTTATCACTTGGCAGCTCGGTTAAATACCTTTCCTCATTCATTCGGTTTAAATGTCCTGATCATCAATGAATTAAGTCAAAAAGTCTAGCCAGTCTTTCAGAATTCTATGTTAGGATGTATCAGCTTTAACCCTTCTTTTGAACGGAGATTACATTGTCTCTTTGAAATTCATGTTGTTGTTTTGCCAGATCTTTGCTCTGTGTCTTTACTTTTCTACGATGACACTCCAACCTTTTCCCAGGTCCTCTGTTTCACTTCTCCAGACATTCATAGCCGTTTCCTCTTCGCTGTTTATCAGTCTCTTTTCTTTCAAGTCTCTTGATGCTTCCATCATCGTATTATATATAACCGGGCTGTTTTCCAGAAAGATTCTTAGTTTCACCAGCAGTGACATTTGGAACTTAATCCCTTTTTCTTTCAGAATTTTTCTTATCAGCCGAACGCCCATCTTTTCTGTTGGATCTCAGGTGGATAGTCTTAGTCAAAGAAGGTTCTTTTTTCGTTCCAGTGTACGTCTTTCTTCCTTCATGCAGAGCAGAGGAACAAGTGTTTCATTTTGTAGTTCACCACCACCGATTTATTCCTATTCCAATTTCCTCCAATGCTCAATGTTTCATTGACCCTCTCTGTCATAAAGTTTAGCTCCATGACAAAACCATCCAGACTTCCTGTTATAGTTGCTTATCTCTTTTTTCACATTTTTCACGAGAGAATCTGTGAAGGCAGTTAGGTCAGTTTTAATATCCACTCAGAAAGCTTTAATGTCCACATGATTGCTGCAATGCTAGCTGACAGCTTATCAGCTATCCTGTCCATCTCAGACTTTTCAACTGTTGATTTTGCATTCTTTTAAAGTTTCGATTATTGTTTTATCCTAGCCTTTTTTGGTTGTGTCCCCCTCCCTATCATTTAAATGTAGTTTAGATTATAGGAAGTGATGTAAAAAGAAGGATTTCGGTTTGTATGGGAGTGCTGTTGCTATTCATTCATTCATTTTCTTTTCGGCTTAGTCCCTTTATTAATCAGGGGTCGCCACAGTGGGATGAACCACCAACTTATCCAGCACGTTTTTACGCAGCGGATGCCCTTCCAGCTGCAACCCATCTCTGAAAAACATCCATTCACACTCATTCACGCTCATACACTACGGACAATTTAGCCCACCCAATTCACCTGTACCGGATGTCTTTGGACTGTGGGGGAAACCGGAGCACTCGGAGGAAACCCGTGCAAGCGTTGGGAGAACATGCAAACTCCACATAAAAACGCCAGCTGACCCAGCCGAGGCTTGAACCAGCGACCTTCTTGCTGTGAGACGACAGCACCACCTACTGCTTCACTGCATCGCCCGTATAGACCTATTTCAGTCTTAAATATCGACTATAGACTTTAGGCATCCATACTGGGTAGGCGATTCGAGGACATCCTTCCAGATTTAATAAAGACCGTTCAAAGAGGTTTTGTAAAACAAATACAAACATATGAATAATTTATGGCGAGTCCTACACATAGGTTATATATCTCATAATAAGATTAGCACTTTTCTAATTAGTTTACTTGCAGAAAAAGCATTTGATTTGATTCAATCTTTATACTTAACTCCTACACCTGAAACTTGCC